GACAGCAGGTTGGCTCGCACACCCGGGACGTACAACACGTCGGGGATGAGCACCTCCTTCCCGGCCTCTCCTCGCAGAGCGATGGTGCCGCAGCCCTGGACATCCTGCAGCGCCCCATTGAAGCCGCGCACATGCCTGATGGCGCCGCTCGGCTGCAAGTCGACGAAGGCTTCCTTCGTCCCCATCAGGTGGTGGGAGCAACCACTGTCGAGCAGGACCACCGCCGGGTTTGCCTGCACAGCTGCCGCCACAGCCTGGAAGTCCTCTTCGGCCTCCGGTGCCAGAGAGATGGTCGGCTCCACGACGCCGACCAGCGAGCACGACGCCGTCTTGTCGTCTCGCCCCTTGCCGCCAGCAGAGGAGTCGGCATCCTTCGCCGAAGTCGATGTCTTGGTCGACTGCTTCTCCTTGCGGGGCTGGTTTCCTCCACGACAAGGACGACGGCTGCCAGACCTCCCACGGCCTCCCTTAGCATCGTCATCATCGGAGTCACTGCGGTTGGGACACTCAAAGGAGAGATGGTCGGGGTCGCCGCACAGCCAGCACTCCCGACGTCGACCTCCACCCCCACGACCGCTGTCCTTGGCCGACCTCTTCTTGTCGACCTCCTTGGCAAGCTTCCAGCCACTGCTACCACCACCGCCAGACTGCCCGCGCTGCCCCGGTCGGCCTCCTTGCTTCGCTGAGGTGACCAAGTTTGCCTGCACCAAGAGCTCCTGCGATCGCTCAGCCTCCTGCATCGCCTCGTCGTGCAGGATGTACGAGGTCAGGTTGTCCTCGTTGAGCGTCGCCCTTGTGCTCGGCGCCATAGATAGCCACTTCAGCAGGTTATAGCTGCTAGAGAGTCCCTGCATGACATGGGTGATGTATGACGCCGTGGAGTACTGCGCGCCGGCCATCCTGATAGTGGCGAGAATTCGCCGGGCTCGGTTGCAGTAGTCAGTCGCTGTCTCATCGTCACCCATACGCAGGTGCGTCAGCTGTCCCTCCAGCTGGGCGATGAACAGGTCGTCGGTGACCTCAATGAAGTGCCACGCCCTGTGACCGGCGTCGATGTACTCCCGGCACCATTTCAAGGCGATCTGCACGCCCGGCGAGCAGCACCGCGAGATGACCGTGAAGGTCAACAGCTGCACGGCGCGAAACTCCGCACGCAGGTCGGGGTGGTGCTCCCCCGGCGTCGCCACGGTCCCTCGGGCGAAGCCGATCAGCCCGGCCATCTCCAGCTGGGGCTCGATGGCTTCCTTCCAGGTGAGAATGTCGGGTCGACCGACCAGCGGAGGGGTGACCGAGATCCTGTCCGGCGTAAACTTGAAGTAGCCGTAGCTCGGTGCAATCCCACCTGCCGTCACCTGGGACGCCGACATCGACGACAGCCCACTTCGACGCCCACCGGCGTCACCATGTGAGGAACCTGCAGTCGCCGACGACTGCATCCCTCGCGCCTGAACGCCGCCGGCTTCACCGGCGTGTATCACACCTCGTTGCCTCGACGTGCCTCCCACACTGCTGCCGACCTGACCTCCACCGGCGTTGACGCCCACATCGACGCCGCCGTCGTTGTTCACCGGTCGAGGAGAGGCAGGTCGAGAAGGGGGATGCTCCGCCGCCCACACGGAGCGGAGTCCAGCCTCAACGACTGCCCAGGGTATCGCCCCATACTCCTGGGCCTCATGGCGTCTCCTCGCATCCTCCAGCCGTCCCTCCAGGGTGTCCATCACCTCGGCGTCGCCTACGCGCACGCTAGTGACTGCACGGCTGCCGGTCTACGAACACGATCGGTATGTGCTAAGTCGGCTAGACTGAACTACGTCGCGGTGTCGTCCACGCTCACCGCACCATGCGGAGATAACTGCAGCAACGGGAGCTAGGCTGCGGGCTATGCACGTGTGCTCGTGTGATCTCTGCGTTCGTTAGTCCTTAGTCGTTTTCCTTGTGCACACACTACTTGTTAGTTCACGGGGAAAATTGGCAAGAGTTTCACTAGGAAAAAGTTCAGAACAATTGGTACAATGAAGTTGGCATAGCAAGACTACATTAGAGCAAGCATTCAGGTCGGCCAACTGCCAGCGCAGCTTGGTCGACCGCGTTCCAGCACGACTTGGTCGACCGCGCTCCAGCAAGGCAAGGTCGACGGCGTGCCAACGTCGCAGGTTAACGGCGCGACAGCGTTGCTCACGCAGGACAGCAGTGCACCCTGCTTCGCAGTTGTGCGCAGATGATTGGCGCGCAGAGTCTCGTCACCTGCACAGCGCACACACCACGTCAACCTCGAGCTGACGACTGCCTCTGGTCCGCCATGACGACCTCGGGATACCAGCACCGAGATCGGGCTCGCCAACTTCGCCTGGGCGACCATCGCACTCCTCCGCAGCACTTCGTCACCCAGGTAACCTGATCAACCAGGCAACCACGTCGACCAGCAGCTCCCGTCCGTCGACCTCCCAAGTCGACGACCACCTCTACGTCGACCTCACCAGGTCGACGACACCATCGGTCGACCTCCTCCAGGTCGACGTCCCCTCTGGTCGACCAGCTCCACGTCGACCAGTACTCCTGGTCGACCTGATCCTCGTCGACCAGCACAGTCGTCGGCCGACCACCCATGTCGGCCACCCGAAGCTAGCGTCACGAAGTTGACGCCCCGCTACTCGACGCCCAACTGCTCGGCGTCCTGAGTCGAGGTCGACGTCGGCCCCTCCTTCGTCGACCACCAGATCCAGTCGACCACTAACAGGTCGACCAGCAGTTCATTAGCCGACCGCCGAAGTCGGCTTCCCCAAGTTGACGTCCTCCGCAGGTCGACTCCCAAGTCGACCTCCCTGAAGTCGGCGCCACCCTGAGGTCGGCGCCTGTGCAGTGGTCCCCCGTGCAGGTCGGCCTCCTCGTCGACCAGCTCACCCACTGCTGCAGGTCGGCTGCTCCCCTCACACCCGACCACGAAGTCTGCTCCGCCCAAGCGAGGACGGGGCCAATACCCAACTCCCGTTGACACACACACACCCCCGACGGACGAAGGACAGACAGACTTAGACTCAGCAACAAGACTAGCACCGAAGTCTAGACGACAGGCAGCAGCAAAGTCAACAAGCTCAGAGACTAAGGCAGACGCAGCAGCAGACTCAAACGACGGGCCAGTAACGACAGTGACTAGTAGACGCGTGACAGTAGGGTGAGCAGCATGAACTAGGTCAAACTCAGGGTCCGGAATGCCAGACAGAGAAGACGCAGGAGGAGAAGGCAGGGGAACATGCTGTGGAACAGAGGAAGGACGAAGTGCCATAGTGTGCGTGCCAGGGACAGGAGGACGCTCACGAGGAACACGACGACCAGTGCGACCAGCGCGAACAGGCGAGGCAGGACGAGATGCATGCTCACGACGCTCTGTAAGCGAGTCTGTCTGGTCAGTCTAAGGAAAAGAAGCAGGCAGTGGAGAGCCTGGCTGTAATGGGAGGCCAGTAGAAGATGGGAGGCTAAGAACCTGGCGAAGCACGGAGTAAGGCGGTGGCAGAGACGACGGTGACGGCGGAGCGAAGAACAGTCGCGGCTGTGCAGTACCACCAACACCAGTACCACCAGCACCAGTACCTCCAGCAGCAGCAGATCCTCCAGCTCTAGCGCCTCTAGCTCCAGCACCTCAAGCTCCAGGGTCTCCAACTCCAGCGCCTCCAACGCCAGCGCCTCCAGCTCCAAAGCCCGCAGCACCACCAGCTCCGGCAGCTCCAGCACCTCCAGGACGAGCACCAGCAGCACCAGCTCCTCCAGCAGCTCCAGAACCTCCCGCCCCAGGACCTCCAGCAGCAACACCCCCAGAACCGGAACCTCCAGCTCCAGGGTCTCCAACTCCAGGGTCGACAGGACCAGCTCTAGAGCCATCAGCTCCAGGGCCTCCAGCAGCAGCACCCCCAGAATTGGCACCTCCAGCTCCAGGGTCGACAACACCAGCTCTAGGTCCCCCAGCTCCAGTGCCTCCAGCAGCAGTACCCCCAGATGCAGCACCTCCAGCCCCAGGGGCTCCAGCTCCAGCGCCTCCAGCTCCGGCCGTGCGACTCCGAAGGCGGGTGCGCAAAGCAAGCCACTCGCGCAGCTGTTGCGGCGAAAGAGGTGACCGCTGCAACGCGACACAAGGAGGACCTCTAGCAGACTCAGCACCCTATGCTTAGCACCAACAGACTCAGTACCCCCTGGGCCAGCACCTAGAGGGCCAGCACCTTTAGCTCCAAGGTCTTGAACTCCAACGTGAGGCTCTCCAGCTCCAGTGCCTCCAGCACCACGGACCCCGGCAGCTCGAGTACCTCCAGGACCCTCAGCGCCAGCACCCCCAACGCCTCCACGACGAGCAGCTCCAGCAGCTCCAACCGCAGCACCTCGAGCAGCAGTACCTCCAGCACCAGCAGCACGACTCCTCAGGCAGGTACGCCACGCCAGTCACCCTCGTAGCTGGTGTGGTGAGAGAGGCCCCCGTCGTGAAGAGAGACCCCCAGACTCAGCACCCTCTGGCTCAGCACCCCCAGGCTCCGCACTCGTAGGCTCAGCACCCCCAGGCTCCGCACTCGTAGGCTCAGCACCCCCAGGCTCCGCACCCCCCAGCACCTCACGCACAAGCTCAGCACCCCCCAGACGTAGCTGTTACGATACGGTCTTAACTTAGGAACCGGGTCTAGGGAGGGCCTAGGCTTAGTAGCCTAGGCCAAGCAAGTGTCGAGGTCAAGGCCAAGGGAGTGTCGAGAGAAATTGACCAAACAAGTTAGCTTCACTAAAGCAAAGCATACAAGATATAGTCGAGAAACACAAACAAGGGGTGCACCACCAACAGCAAAGAATAATAACTACAGCAAGCAGGATAAATCTTAAATATAACTTTGACACACCCCCTTAGCCTGCTTGCAGTAGGAACTAGAGTAGTCAACACCCCCTAAAGGGGTATAGCTGGCGCAGTGGGAGATGGCAGAGGGGTACGTGAGGGGAGGCGGCGAGAGGGAGAGAGGAGATTAGAGGAGATGAGAACACAGGAGGAGGTGAGTGAGGGATGAGGGGAGGAGGTGGGGGGGTTGCCGCGACGTCCCCTCTTACTAACCCCCTTTTACGAAAGGGGGGTTGAGTGGGGGATGAGGAGAGGAGGTGGGGGGGTGGTCGCAGCGTCCCCTCTTACTAACCCCCACATCCCCACCCCCAATCAACCACCCTCCTTCAACCTCACCCCCCATTTCAGCCACCCCCTTGAACCGCACCCCCTCCCTCCCTTCCTTCCTCCACACCCCTGCCCCACCCACAGTTGTCTCTGCCCTGTCCTTCACATGGCAGCCAGCCCTCCCGCCCCCCCGTCCCCGCCACCTACCCCCCACAGTAGCAGCCGCGGGAGGGGAGAGGCAGGGCAGTGGGTGGTGCTCTGCTGGTGGGGTTCTCTGCTGGCGGGGTTCTTGGCTGGCGGGGTTCTCTGCTGGCGGGGTTCTCTGCTGGGGGGGTTCTCTGCTGGTGCTGGTTCCTGGTGCTGGCGGCTGGTGCTGGTTCTGGTTCCTGGTGCTGGCGGCTGGCGCTGGTGCTGGTTCCTGGTGCTGGCGGCTGGCGCTGGTGCTGGTTCCTGGTGCTGGCGCTGGTGCTGGTGCTGGTTCCTGGTGCTGGCGGCTGGTGCTGGTGCTGGTTCCTGGTGCTGGCGTTGGTGCTGGTGCTGGTTCCTGGTGCTGGCGGCTGGCACTGGTGCTGGTTCCTGGTGCTGGCGGCTGGCGCTGGTGCTGGTTCCTAGTGCTGGTGCTAGTTCCTGGTGCTGGTGCTGGTACTGGTTCCTAGCGCTGGTGCTGGTGCCTGGTGTTGGTTCTTGGTGCTGGCGCGGGTCTGCTGGTTCGTTTACTGGCGGGCTTGCGGGTCGTGGACGATCTGTGGCATGCAGTGGTGGAGCTGCAGCTTCTCCCGCCACTCCCGCCACGCCCGCCATGCCCGCCACTCCCGCCACGCCCGCCATTCCCGCCACTCCCAACGCCCCCGCCACTTCTGCCACTCCCTTCACAGCAGCTGCGAAGTCGACGGGCGGGCGGGGAAGAGGTGTGACTGGCGGATGCTGGCGCTGGCGGCCGCCACTCCGTTCCCCCTTTCCTCTTCGCCCCCACTGCGCCCGTCGCTGTTTCTGTGCCACGGAGCCGCGACGAGGCAGCGTGACGGCGGCGGGTCCATTGGCGGGCTCGCTCGCGGGCCCGTTGAAGTGTTCGTCGGCGGGCGTGCTCACACGCGCGCTGGCGTGTCCGTCAGTGGGCTTGCTGGCGCTCTCGTTGGCGGGTCCGTCGGCGGGTTTCCTGGCGGGTCCGTCGGCGGGCTTGTTGGCGCTCTCGTTGGCAGAACTGACGGCGGGTCCGTCGGCGGGTTTGCTGGTGGGTCCGTCGGCGTGCTTGCTGGCGGGTCCGATCCTGGCGTTCCTGGTGCGTTCCTGGCGTGCGCGGTGGCGTGCGTTGCTGGCAGTGCGCGGGCGACGGGCTGAAAACGGGAAAGCGCTCACGAGGAGCACTAAGGGGCGCGCCATTGCGAGCGCTAATGGCGGCCCCATTTGAAAACGGTCCTAATCGGACCTAGCTCTATACCATATTACAATACAAGTTAACTAGAGTACGGGTTTAACTAAGGGGCCTAGGCTTAGAAGCCTAGGCCAAGCGGGTATCGAGGGAGTTGTGCCAAGAGAGAATCGAGAATGATTGACCAAACAAGTTAGCTTCAATAAAGCAAAGCATACAAGATATAGTCGAGAAACACAAACAAGGGGTGCACCACCACCAGCAAAGAATAATAACTACAGGAACTACAGCAAGCAGGATAAATCTTAAATATAACTTTGACCGCAACACCCCGAGCAGTACCACCCACAGCAGCACCTGAGTCGCTAGTGACCCCTACAAGCTCAGCCAAGGGGAGTGGGTCAACCTGAGACACACCTGAAGGGGCAGGACCCTAAGGGAGGAGGGGGTCTACCTAAGGGGGACCTGGAGCGAGGAAAAGCGGCGGGGGAGGGAGAGGGGCAGTGCGGTAGGGGAAGAGACGGTAGAAAGGAACCGACTCGTCAAAGGTGACGTCCTGAGAGGGCAGGACACGGCGCGAGGTGGGGTGGTAAAACTGCCAGCCAGGCGCGTTAGGGACAAAGCCAAGGAAGACACAGGGAATGGTGCGGGAGGAGAGCTTGTCCGCGGACGTATCGCGGACAAGGGCACGAGCACCCCAAACCCGGAAACGCGACGCATCGCCAACTTCCTCCGTCCAACGCAGTGTGGGCGAGGTCTTCGGCAAGGAGACACGGGGCCAGAGGTTGAGCTGCAGCGCGGCGTACCGGACCGCAAACGGCCATAGAAAATGGGGAGCCGCCGCATGGATCTAGGAGGTACAAGCGACCTCCATGACCAAGCCAATGCGGCGCTCAGCAACCCCATTTTGCTGCGGTGAGCCCGGAAGCGTGAACGACTGCTCGATGCCCTTCCCCTGACAGAAGGACTGCAAGAGGTCGGAGGTGAACTCACCACCTCTGTCAGAGTGCAGACGCAGGACAGGAAGGTCTTGGCAGAACCTGCGTCGGAGCTGGAGACGAACCGCTCGGATCCAAGGGATCACGACAGCAGGGAATTCACCCTTGGTGCGCAAGGGGAAGACAGTGGTGTAACGCGAGTCGTTGTCGACAACCAGCAGAAAACATCGCTCACTGCCGTGTCCACGAACGGAGGCTGGGCCCCACACGTCCAGGTGGAGGGTCCGCAAAGGAGCATCTATCAGCGGAAACGAGCAGGAGTGAGGAGCGGCGCGCTGCCGCCCCTCGACGCAAGGAAGGCAGGCGGCGCAGGCGAGGTAGGGAGGGGAGGGAGAGACCTGCGAAGACCAGACACAAGGAGGTGACTGTGCATGCCACGTAGACGTGGCAAGGAGGGGTGACCTAGGCGGTGGTGCCAGAGAAGAGTCTGGTGCGACAGGGAGCGACACTCACAAGGGGAGGCTACCAGACCTGACGCAGACACCTGACCAGTAGCATCTACCTGAGGAGGTGCAGTCGCCAGTGTGTAAAAACTCGACCCTGGCCGACGGGTAAACGTGGCCAGGTGGCGGCCGGTCTGGGAGCACGTACAGATCGCCACACGCTGCCGACCAGGGGTGAAGGTGTCAACCCCCGCATCCTGGAGGACAGCAATGCTCACCAAGTTCGTAGAGAACGAGGGGAGGTGGAGACCTGATAGTGAGCCTGACGGAACCGCCGGGCACGGGAGCACAGTGGTGGACCGTGCAAGAACTGGGCCCCCAGAGGTGTCAGCCAGAGAGACTGCAACAGGTGCAGAGAGTGGTGTGAGTGCAGTACTGTCACAAAAGAAACAGCGGGAAGCACCTGAGTCAAGCGTGAAGGTATGCAAGGCCTCAGCAGGCGCAATACCTAAGAGAGCAGACTCGCTAGCACCTAAGGCAGCAGCCTCACCAGCACCTAGAGCACTAACCTCTATATTGGGGTCGTGCTGCACACACATGTAACAGTCACCCTTAGCACCACCAGGCAAAGCATACATGGCAGTAAGGATGGCGTCATAGTCTAAAGCAAAGACATTAACGCCCGACCTAAGCAGCTCAAGCCAGTGGGGGATCTCAGCCTCGTCTCCAAACTCTGCGTGCCAGGCGTCACTCAAATAGGAGAAACATAAGGATTGTGCGTGACCAGGTGTTCCACAGGTCTGACCAGCTCGACGACCTGTGCGAATGACGTACGGGCAGCGACCAGGACTCAGAGGCGTCCCACGCTGGTAAAGCCACTCACGAAGCTGCTGGGGCGTAAGGGTCGGACGCCGCTGTAGCTGCATCTGGCCACTGCCAGAAACTCCGCACCGAACAGCGCCACAGTGACCGCTACTACGGTCGCCACCACTCCCACTGCTGCTGCAAAGTGAAGTCATGGCGGGCAAGCTAGGAGGAGTGTGACATCTAGGGAAGGACGGAGTGAAGGCAGTAGCACGAGTAGCAGTAGCAGCAGTAATAGCAGCAGAGCGGCTTGGCGAGGCTAGGCTGTAGCACCTCCAGTACTCTTAGCAGTACCTCCACCAGCAGCAGCAGGGTGGATCGGGTTGGGCAGGGCTGCTCGTGCTGGGCGGCACGACTCGGCCTGGGCGGCGCGGGCAGCAGGGCGCGACGCGCAGGCTGCAAGAGAGCACGACGCACAAGCTGCAGCAGGGCGCGACGGCGGGCTGCAGCAGGGTGCGACGTGCGGTGCAGCAGGGCATGACGTGCGGTGCAGCAGGGCGTGACGCGCTGGCTGCAGCAGATCGCGATGCGCAGGGGCAGACGTAGGGCGCGACGCGCAAGGCAGCAGGGCGCGACGCGCAAGGCAGCAAGGCGCGACATGCGGGCTGCAGCAGGGCGTGACACGCAGGGCAGCAGGGCGCAAGGTGCAGCAGGACGTGCGGGGCAGCGCGATGCGGGGCAGGGCAGGGCGTACGCGAGGCAGCGTGACGCAAGGCAGGGCAAGGTGTGCGCGGGGCAGCGCGACGCAAGGCAGGGCAGGGCGTGCGCGGGGCAGCGTGACCCAAGGCAGGGTAGGGCGTGTGCGGGCCAGCGCAACGCAAGGCAGGGCAGGGCAGGGCGCGTGCTGTAGGCGCAGCGCAGGGCAGGGCGTGGGGTAACGTGGTAACCGCAGTCAGTCACTGTGGAAGAATGAACGTGAATGAATGACTATGAAATGAAGGGGGTACAAATATGAAACCCTAATTGGGTTGTACCCCTTATGGGATACCCCACTATAGCCTACAGAAATGAGTAAGCTACAATGTTCTAACACACCCCCATAGGCAAAGTGGGGGAGAACAAGGGGTCACAAGACCAGTCAAGCAAAGCAAAGCAAAGCTCAGGGTGGATCACAAAGTCACCACACATTCCGAGCACAAGTTCAAGGGCCACAAGGCCAGTTCACAAGCAAGATCATATATAAAGATATACAAGAGTCAAGCGAGCAAGAGCAAGAGTATATATAGCAGAAGGTACAAGCAAAGTCAAGAAGTGAGCAAGTGAGGCAGGACAGGCACAAGACCCAGCTGCGTGCAACAACGCTGATGATCACAAGGCGCAAGTGCCTTGGTGAAGACATCAGCAGTGTTGGCCTCAGAGGCCACGTACGCAAGTCGCAACTGTCCACGCTGCTGTAGCTCACGAGCAAGAAAGTAGCGGAGAGCAATGTGCTTTGTCCTGTGCTCCAGTCGCTGCTCTCGACACAAGGCCAGCATGGCCTTGTTGTCTACGTACAGCACTGGAGGAGAACGAGGCTGCTCTCCAAGGTCGGTCAGCAGGTAGGTGAGCCAGCGAAGCTCCTGAGCAGCCATAGCCCCAGCGTAGATCTCAGCCTCACAACTGGAGCCAAGAACAGAAGACGAGCGAGTAGCACGCCACGAAACAGAGCCGGAACCAAGGCTGAAGGTGTAACCCTGTGACGACCGCTGCGTAGCCTGGTCGTCAGCCCAAGAAGCGTCTGCGTGCCCAGTGAGGACCACTGGACTCCGCCCTCCAAGCACTAGCCCCATGCCCGACGTACTGCACAAGTAGCGCAACACCCTCTTCGCTGCAGCCATGTGCTCTGGTCGGTGTCTCCCAGGAGCAACATAGCGTGCGAGAATGCTAAGAGGGTATGCAAGGTCAGGTCGTGTGCAGGTCATCAGGTACATGAGGCAGCCAACAAGCTCTGCATACGGGCCACTCGACTCTACGGACTCATCCAAAGGCAGAGCTGAGAGCGAGTGGCGAGTAGGCAGAGGAGTGGCCTGAGGCGAGGAGTACGTGAAGCCGAAGCGCTGAAGGACCTGCTGCACCATGTGTGACTGAGTCAGGGTAATGGTGCGGCGTGCTCTGTCCCGGGTGATCTATAAGCCAAGGTAGCTACGCAGTTCACCCAGGTCAGTGCACGTGTGTCTCTTCTGCAGCTCGGACTTCACGTAGGCGAGTCCAGCAGTGTCAGCTGTGGCAAAAACCAAGTCGTCGACGTACACGAGGATGTAGAACGGCGGCAGAGAGGTGTCGGTGCGCAGAAACAGCGACGGGTCGGCAGTAGAAGGAGCAAACCCAAGTGCCGCCAGTGTAGTCCTCAGTGTGTCGTGCCACTCACGTGGCGCCTGGCGGAGACCGTAGACTGGACGCCGGAGACTCCACTGGGTACCAGGAGGGAAAGACCCAGTGAAGCCAGGTGGGCGACGCAGCCAGATCTCCTCGTGCAGGCTGCCCTGCAAGAAGGCGGTGCTGAAGTCGAGAGAGTGCAGCTCGTAGTCACGGTGAGCAGCAACGTGCAGCAGAACCCAAAGAGTGGTCATCTTCGGGGTGGGGGAGAAGGTCTGAAAGTAGTCAACCCCCTGCCGCTGACTGAAGCCACGAGCCACGTAACGCGCCTTGAAGACAGGCGGAGAACCCGGCGGCCGCTTCACCCTGAAAATCCACATGCCACTGACGATGTTCGCCCCAAGAGGGGGAACAGCGTCGACGTAGGTG